ATTAGAGCCATCCATAGTTGTTTAATATTATAATAATTTTGATTTTATTTTTTAGAGGGACTGGTGACTTGTAATAACAGGTTTTCCCAACCTTTTTCAAGCACCAGTCTCTCAGTATAATACATAGCTTTATGCTTATTGTCAAGTTTATTATTAATTATTAATAAAGTTTATTATTATTATTATTATTGATTTAGATTCTATGAACTTTTAGTTAAATATCATTATTTCTAATTCAATCATTCAGCTTTGGAGAGAAGTGAAATAGTGGCCTGTGATTTCACGTAAATTCATAACGTTGATAATTACTAAAATCTCAACTGATATGGTACTTCATGACGTCTACAGTCCCAATTGCAACATTAAATAGATAAATAATATAGATAACAACGAAGCAATGCTTCAAAGTAATTGCAGTTTTTAATATCTACCTAATGACTATATTACATACTGTTGTTACTTACTCTCAAATTAAGTTTGCTGTAATCTTCGGTGTTTTTGATCCGAGTTATCAACTGGCTGCACTTTGTGTCGACTAAAGGTTGTAAAGCTCTTAATTTAGATCCAGTAAAAATTGATGTAAGCCGACGACGAACTACCGCCCATAAAGGATCCTAAAAACGATTTTCTTGATTATATTTTACTTGTACGTAATAGGGTAGATTCGTCTGCCTCATTTTTATATTTCAACCAGATTCCGGCCGTAGCATCGTCCGTGTGGATTTCGTTATTGTAGCAAGATTTTTTGTGACCTCTTAAACATTAATAGTTATATATCATATAGAATATTATATGACTCAAAAGACAATTAAAACCGTACAAAAATCATTTCAGTAATTTTTTGAGTTCCTTATGTTCATGCAGATAAACAGACGCGGTGTGTCAAGGCGTGTTATACCATCAATTTTATAACAAAAATGGAAATCTATTTTTTGTGTACACACAAAAAAATAGTTACTATAACGGTAGTAGAAAAAAACACTAACTCGAACGTTTAAGCCTTATAATAATAGTAGAATACATAATATACTGACATTGGTTGTCAATAAGTTAAGCGAGCCAATGGGATCGTGCTTTCCACCGCTCAAAAACCTATCCCTGAACACATAGTTGTCCTTCAGGAGGATCCGTTTTGCCAACTCCGGTGAGTTGATGATCAGAGCTGGTCTCCAGTACAGCCAGATCCCGACGACGGGTGCTTTAGGGAAACGCTGGTACATTTCGATCATCCACGTGCCCTGAATAAAAATCTCGATTAATCCATAGTCTACAGGTTATGTGGTTATCAAGAATGATCGTGCATTCAAACCCTGTAAATGAAACATTTCTATGTGCGTGATTAACACTGCGCGTACGGTAAAGTAAAACGTAGTGAGTAAACCGGCATTTTCAAACCCGAAACCTCCCTAGTACTGTCTATACACGGAAAAATAATAATAAATAAATGTATCTGTCAAAATAATTACGGCACTTCATACATAAATACGCAGAAACGTATAATTCAATATTTGACGATCGATATAAATGGGTACAGTTTCATAAAGAAAATACAACAATAACCACGTTAACAAAAATCTCCCCAATCCGGCTGGTCCCCATGGGAAAGCGACCACCACCCACCATTACATGAAAATCTGTCAAAAAAAAAGAGAAATGGAAAAATAAGGAGGCTTTCACCCTAAAAGGGGCAAAGTACAATACAATACTAGAAATACAATAATAAATAAATGTATATATCAAAATAATTACGGCACTTCATACATAAATACGCAAACACATAATTCAACATTTATTTATAAGAGGATATAGGAAAGTCGATATAGGAAAAACAAATTCTATGGTTTTTGAATGAGGTATGTGTCGCAGCACTATTTGATGCGTGCGCCCAACAGTACGTAACAGTTCGGAGGGCGATCGCGGGACGAGGTAGCGCGCGGGAGCTCCCTCACGCGCCGGCAGCCGGATGAAGGATGTCGCTCTGATTAATATTTTATTGAAAGTATGACGGTGGTATATAAACACGAGTAAGTGCTGGGAATAGAGTAAATGGAGTGTTGCATATCCTTATGTGTAGCCAAGAAGTCTCAAGTTAGGCTCGACTGGCCGTACACAGGGGAGTACTTACCCCGACGGTAACGTACGATAGTAGCTAATGGAGATCCGTGGTCTATGCCTATCCCTTCGGGAAAAAGGCGTGAATTTACAAATATTTATTAAAGTCGTATGGGCTAACCGAAAGTTTATCAATGAGATCACTTGTATGGGCACGTAACTTGGCGAGACTTTCTAGAATGGCAGCAATTCACGTAGTACTTTCAGTTACAACTATGCTATAAGCGACATCTTATGGGTATGCTTACCGTGTTCTTTTGAAGTAAGAATGTCAAGCTTCCCCATATTGGATGTGGTGGTAGAAATGGTACTCCACGCTCGGCCCAATATTGTTTCACGCTTCTCCAACGCAGGTACACCCATGACACTAAACACACCACTATTGCGCTTATAAGCACACCAATCATTCTATAACAAATAAACAGAAATATATTACATGTGATTTTATTAATAATCTAGGATAAATTACTTTGATTATTATTGTTTTCCTTCACCGTTGGAGCGAATGTTAAATGCGCAAATAGAAAGAAAGTCCATTGGTGCACAGCCGGGGATCGAACCTACAACCTCAGGCATGAGAGTCGCACGTTGAAGCCACTAGGCCAACACTGCTCACTGATTTCGTAACTCATTACATAATTTTAAGAAATGTGTTGAGTCTTGGGTCATGCAACTGTCTGTCTATATTTGTACTCATACGTATAGTTATGAAAATATAACCCAAAAACTCAAAAAGGTCTTTCACTGGAAATAAAAACCATTCAACTATATTACAATAATCATTTACACGGTAATAATTAACCATAAACATTAACCACACAATTATAATTAGTTAATCCATACCACTAAAGAAAAAAGTATTTTAGTTTTGTTCTAATCATATTGTATTTAATGTTACCATCAATATACGACTAAATAAAATCAGCTCAATCTGTGGATCCGTATCCGAAATCTTTTATTATTAATATAATAGAAATGACTCTTTCAACTATCACAACAATAATTATGAATTACTTTAAGCTCTCCATTAACAATCAATCCATTGTTGTTGTTACACTAGTAAAATTATTTAATACATACATTTCAAATTTTATTTCCACCAATGTTTACCGTGTCACCACTGAAATGTGATTACTTAAAAATTATGTTTGAAATCTACTTATATAACACATGTTATGTACCTATATATAGAAATGTCTGAGGCGTCATTGCTTTTTATATACCTATATACTTATTTAATATTTATATTATATTTTCAATTAATTTTATATAATAACAATTTATAAATTCGTTCGTTTTTAACTACAGGAAAATGCATTTCAAAGTGTGGGGGGAACTATGGATATCCTGACGTAGCTCGTTTATCAGAATGCTTAATCTGGATATCGGTATATTTTGGCCAAAACGCGTTCTTCTGAGAGGAAGGACATATAGAGATGATGGGATGTCTAATCTAAAGGACGAAATTTCATTAAAAGGTTGGGACAATCAACCCTATCTCAATGAATTTTCTACGATTATCCAATAACAACATCTTGAAGTACTCTAGCCTGACACTTTTTCCTAGTGGCATCTCAAAAAAAGAATTGCCATTTCGTGTGTTAGCTACAGTAGTACCATTTCTCCCATTCTTCTCACTTCACTCATGCCGATAATATCCCAGTTAGTGTTTTGTAATGCTATTGACAATTCCGATAAGCTTGCAGCTGATCTTAGTGTTAATACGTTTAGGGTAGCAATGTATATTCTTGTGTCTGGATGTTGGGATCTCCGTGTTGACGTTTTGCTTGGGTAGAGTTTGTTTAATGTTTTCTTCATTATGTTGTTGTTGATTTATTATTGGAGGGTTTCGAATCTGAATCCAAAATTAATCATAAAATAATAAAAACGGTATCTTTGACATTTGCTTCATTGTATGGTAACAACCCGGACTACTTTACCCATCCAGCATTGTGGAACGGATTTAGTCACCGTGGCGTATATGCGTATAATCCTCGAGTAATCCCCATGTTTGTTTCTGCATTTTTTAGAATACTGTATGTATGTATTTCTATTAGCCCGGTATGGATTTAGAACGGTCACTTCTCTAATGGTGATCGTTGCGCTACCTTCAAAATATTGTCGTCGACAATTCTCAACATTCCATGACACGAAACGTGATAAATACTTATATTTAGCATGGCCAGACACTTTTATTCGTTATCTTGTATCCGATATTCAAATGGCCGAATTTACGATGGCAAATGTAAAGTTTTTATCAATATTTATCTTACAAAAACTCGATATAATGCTTAGCTTATCATTCAATCATTGTAATAAAAACAAAATCCAGAGATTATAATAAATTATTAAAATCTTGTTAGTTAAGTATTATTCAAATAATATTTCCTTGCGGATGCTTTGATCTACTGTGCGACGAGGCCGGTAGGAAAGCTGAGCACAGGCTGGGTGGCAACAGTTGCACAGCTCCTAGCGTGAAGGTACCCAGGCGCCGCTCGCCACCTAAAAGAAGACGTGCACAAAGCCTCCGCGTAACAATGCGCGTATGGACGTTATGAAAACCTACTGTACCAGAGTCTGGCGCAGTAGAATATCAACATTGGCATATTTCCGAGCCCTACGCAATACCCGAAATGGTGAATTGATTGTGGATGTCACGTTCACGATTCCATCTAGTGCTGTGTCCAGGCCTGGGAGGTCCTGTCGGAGTATGAAACGCCTTCGGACCACCGGTATATCCGTATCTATCTATCTCGTCGTCGGTTAATCCCAGCTCGGATACATCAGAACTGTGTCGAAAATGGCCAATCATGTTCTCGGTTCAACTTTTAAATTAAATAGGTATGAAAATTTCAGATATAACATAAATCACATATTATTTGTACATTATGTTTGGAATTATCGTGTGTGGTGTTACGGTTTTCTTAATATCATGGATATACCTTCGTTGGAGAAATGTTAGAGAGTATTGGGCAAGGCGTGGTGTGCCTCACTCACCACCTCATCCCCTGATGGGCAGTCTCACATTCTTGCAGCAAAAGAATCCGGTGAGTAATTTTTGTCTTTCTTGCTTTAAGTCATTTAGATACTGTAAATCTTGTATTTAAAAGTTGAACCGAGAACAGCCTAGCCTCTTAACTAAACAGCGCCGTTTAACTAGCGGCCTGAAAGATATTCAGCCGTAGCGTTTGTAACAACATTTAATAAACTAGCTGGCTAATGCTTAGGCCATTCGTATGATAGAGTGACCATGTGTCAGAACATGACTATATGTTGTAAATATATCCGACCAGCACCAAGCGGAGCGCCAAAAGTATATATGTCGCATCCAACTAAGCAGTTCAATTAACAGCCTAGCCTCTTAACTAAACAGCGCCGTTTAACTAGCGGCCTGAAATATATTCAGCCGTAGCGTTTATACATTTAAAACTGGCTGGCTAATACTTAGGCCATTCACAGAGAACACCTTTCTCCGACATGAGGGAGACCTTCCTCACATTGTCACAGTTAACTACTTATATTCATATATACTACTATATTTGTTAGTGTAAGTTGAGTCAGTTAAAGGGGCGGCGTAGTACATCGCCCATAGCACGATCACTATGTAGCCATGTATGTTTTATTTTTGAATGATTTGCAAAATTTTTCACCAAATAATGATGATTATGCTTAATTAGTCTTATCGTTGATTAAAGATAAATATATCTCGATTAAATACAAAACTATTATGCGACAAAAGGTTCAGGGTTATGGGAATATGAAAGTCATCTTTGCATTGATACGGGTGTCAGGTGTTTGTGACGTTTTTATAAATTAATTCAGTATTTATTTATTTATTTAAAGCCGTGCCAAAGAAACAACACGAAATAGAATCAAAGTGTGATCTCGGTAATAGGTGCCGCAAACGGCATGCTCAAATATATTACATATAATACAACTAATAATGTAACAGCAATTAAATTATTTATTTATAAGTTCTAAAACACCGTGTTCATCACAAATTTTACACACATACACATAAATTACATAAGAAAATAAGCTAGCTAGCTAGCAAGGGAAAAAATTAAACAAGCAACCACAAAATGAAAAATAATAACATAAAACATTTTTGGCGTAGGGACGTGACGACCCCATCGCCCACTGGTGAAATAACCTGTGACAGAGGTTATTTCATCAGCGCAATCAGTCAACCCCTTCCTAGTGGGAGTGCCATGCTGTTGCCTTCGGGCTTCAGCCAAATGGGCAGGCACGACCGGGGCAGTACCACTGTCTCTCAGAAAACCGTCGTGAAGTGATGCAATAAGTTCGCCTTATTGTACTCGCGTTTCGTGCGGTGAGAGAGACTCCCGGAGCCCATTCCCCCCCCCCCCTTCCCCCTATACAATAAATATGAAAGTGCAGAAAAAACAGAATCTACCCCAGGGCGGTACCCCACACGCGCTCGCAGTGGAGAATCCCCCTCTGGGCGTCCAACACCGGGACACTCTGCACCCGGTGGTGGACGCACAGGCTGCCCTTCGTATTCTGGGGGGGGGCAATTCTGCGCTCGATAAAAACAACATTAATCGTTCTCGGGGCAAACGGAGCAATTTAACAAAGGCACCCCCGTCCACACTCGCCGTGGACTTCACAAATGTTAGGGGGCTCAATTCCAACATCAACGCTGTCCACTACCATTTAGAGACTGCGAAGCCGGCCTTGCTCTTTCTTACCGAGACTCAGATATCCCCCCCGGCTGATACTTCCTACCTCTCCTACCCGAGGTACCAATTGGAACATTCATTTGTGCCGCGGGCGGGAGTTTGCGTGTACGTCAGAGAGGATATTTGTTCTCGTCGCCTCGGGACGCTTGAAGGAAGGGACCTATCTAACCTCTGGCTGCGCGTAGACTGCGATGACCATCCGCGATTCTATGCGTGCCTTTATAGGTCCCATAGCGGAAATGACGAAACTAACCGACTCATCGAGCACATTCAAACGGCTACAGATTCCCTGCTCGAAAGGGTTCCTACCGCTGAAATCGTGATACTTGGCGATTTTAACGCCCACCATGCCGATTGGCTTGGCTCTGATACCACCGATCAAGCGGGAAGATCCTTTCACGACTTTGCTTTAGCCTACGACCTGACACAAATGGTCCCTGCGATTACGCGATTACCAGATGTGGATGGTCATAAACCCTCTTTGTTGGATCTTCTGCTGACTTCACATCCGGAGAACTATCAAGTCTCTGTTGACCCGCCATTGGGTTCATCAGATCATTGTGTGGTCCGAAGTACAGTGCCTTCTACGCGCCCTTCACGGCCCCGCTTTTTGGGTTGTCGCCGTATTTGGCACTACAAGTCAGCAGATTGGGACTTTCTTTGCGTCCTACCCTTGGGGGCCTATGTGCTTTTCGTCGGAAGCTCCAGATTCCGTCGCTGCCTCTGTCGCCGAAGTGGTTCTGCAGGGCATGGAACTCTTTATTCCATTTTCTGCGGTGCCGATCGGTGGCAAGTCTCAGCCCTGGTTTAAACGTTCTTGCAAGGCGGCCTCGTGCCGAAAGCGAGAATGCTTTAAGGCATGGGCGGAAGCGGCGAAATCTCGTGATGCCAATACCAGCGAACTTAAAAAAGCATATAACTCAGCCTCCAGGTCCTTCAAACGGGAAATCACTAAGGCAAAGTCAGAGCACATTGCCAGATTTGGCGAGAGATTGGCCCAACTCCCTTCGGGGACTCGAGCCTTCTGGTCTCTTGCCAAAGCTGTCCAAGGGAATTTTTGTCAGCCCGCCATTCCACCATTGCACAGGGAGGATGACTCGCTGGCCCACACTGCGAAGGAAAAGGCCGACCTTTTGGGCTGTCTCTTCGCGTCCAACTCGACTTTGGATGACCGAGGAAGATCACCACCGACTACTTCGCGGAGTGATTCTTCGATGCCGGAAATCACATTCCGGCAACGTAATGTCCGCAAGGCACTATCTTCCTTGGACATTCATAAGTCGAGCGGGCCGGATGGTATCCCCCCAATTGTGCTGCGTACTTGTGCTCCTGAGTTGGCTCCGGTCTTAACGCGCCTTTTCCGGTACCTGTACTCGCTCGGCACTGTCCCGAAGTGCTGGAAAACCGCTTCGATACATCCGATCCCTAAAAAAGGCGATCGCTCTGATCCGTCCAACTATCGCCCAATAGCCATAACCTCCTTGTTCTCCAAAATAATGGAATCCATTGTTAATTGCCAGCTCTTGAGGTATCTAGAGGGCCACCAGCTGATTAGCAATTATCAGTATGGCTTTCGTCGTGGTCGTTCGGCTGGTGACCTTCTTGTATACCTTACACATAGATGGGCAGAGGCAATTGAGTCCAAGGGGGAGGCGCTAGCGGTTAGTTTGGACAAAGCGAAAGCCTTTGATCGGGTGTGGCACAGAGCACTGCTCTCGAAGCTCCCAGCCTATGGGCTACCCGAGAAATTATGCGATTGGATCTCCAGCTTTCTGGCCGATCGGAGCATCAAGGTCGTCATCGACGGAGCATGTTCCGACCTTAAACCCGTGAACGCGGCGGTCCCACAAGGCTGTGTTCTATCCCCGACCCTGTTTCTTCTGCATATCAATGATATGTTGCAACTTAGCAACATTCATTGCTATGCGGATGACAGCACTGGGGATACTCTTTACACTGGCCGGGCAGGTATTTCTCGGGCAGTTGTCGATGAGTACCGGAACAAACTTGTGTCTGAAGTCGAAACTCTACTACGTGGAGTCTCAGATTGGGGCAGACTAAACCTAGTCCAATATGATATATAACTAGTTTCTGCTGAGCGCTGATAACGAGAAAAGGATTATGCGACCGAGATCTGCGATCATAACATTTACTATTTATTTTTACATTTAACATTTTCCTGCACTATTGCCTTCTAAGTTTTTTTTTTATTGCTTTTTAATCTTGTATCTTTATTTTGTTTGTGACTTATGTATTAATATCCGAATTTAAAAATTGTTTTTATTAAATTATCGTTTATCTTTTTTAAGTGTTCCATATTATGCGTGTGTCCCAAAGACGTCAACAATGAACTTAATTTTATTCATTATATTATTCGATCAAAACTAATCAATATATTTTTTTCAGGAAAAGTTATACGCAGAATTAGTGGAAGCAAAAGATAAGTGTGCAAACAATAGCTTGGATATCAACACCCTTGCTGATTTGCAATACCTGAACTGCGTTATTAAAGGTAGTAATAATTGTCTATATATATGTAGAACAGTACAGCCTAGTGGCTTAAGCGTCGTATACTTTATCAGTAACACACCAAAAATGAATCGAAAAAAATTCTTGATGAAGAAAATGATTTTTAATAATTACGTAATTCTGATGACGCCAAGCGATAACAAAGATTTCATATGAAAAAATCCCTTCACTATATACTTGAATTATTATGTAGTCAAGCACAGTAGCAAATATTATTTTTAATTTAAGTTCCTTACTTTTTATTTTCCTAGCTACTTCGTCCGATAATAATCTTTCAATTCATATCAATTTCGATTTCCGTATTTTATATACAATCAGCATTTGTTTATATTTCCTGCACAGATTGCCAGGTAGAAGTTCATTTAAAGTGATAAAATCACCGATTTTATTTAGTAAATATTAATTTTCTTTTCAGAGGCTCTAAGAAAGTATTCACCAATGGGTTGGATGGACAGAGTGGCGTTGGTCGACTATAAAATTGATGACAAATTAACCATACCCGCGGGCACACCTTTGTATGTTAATGCTATTGGAATGCAATATTATGAAGAGTTCTACCCAGAGCCGGAAAAATTTGACCCGGATAGGTTTTTGCCAGAAAACGAGAAAGAGTCACTGCAATTCACATATCTGCCATTTGGAGAAGGACCCAGAAATTGTATTGGTAAATTTTGATCACTTTTGTTTTTCTATTCTATGTTTAACTGAAACTGAATATTATCTATTTTATATGAAGTGGGCAGTTCAGATTAGGTCAGGATTTTTGGACAGTTTACCAGGCGGTTCAATATTAAATTATTTTGTTGTAAATGATCTGCTACACAGGCATATATACGAGCAGGGTTGGCCTAGAGGCTTCAGCGAGCGACTCTCATACCTGAGGTCCGGCTGTACACCAATGGACTTTCTTTCTATGTGCGCATTTAACATTTGCTTGAACGGTGAAGGAAAACATCGTGAGGAAACTGACATGTCTTAGACGGCGACAGGCACAGGAGCCTGATCACCTACCTGCCTATTTGATTTAAAAATGATCATGAAACAGATTCAGAAATCTGAGACCAAACCCTAAAGAGGTTGTAGCGCCACTGATTTTTTTTTTTTTTTACAAAGGCTTACTTACTTTATGTCTAAGACATGTATTTTTTGTTCACCAGAAAAGACGCTGATACTCCAGCCCAAGCAAATTGGTTACGTGACTCATATCCTACTTTTTATTTTAGGAAAAAGATTCGCCCAGATATCCCTGCGGAGTGCTCTTGCAAAACTGGTTTTGAACTACGAGTTCCGACCTTTACCCGGCCAGCCTAAACCCTCTGAAATTGACATTGACAAACTTGGTCTATTTTACGTCCCATCACACCATCTCAACCTTGACTTCATACGACGATAGATTAAACGAAGAAAAGAGAAGAACGTTTTCCTTCATAAGGGTTTTCTCTTATATTTTTAATATATAATCCATGACATAACGAAAACTGCAGTCTCATGTATTATTAGTAACAAGTCCATAAAAACTTATGTGTTGATAAACAAATATCATTCATTTTAATAACATAATCGTCAGTATTTATTCGTATAGCTTAAATTAAATACATAATTTTACTTTGTATCCGTCTTTTATTTATGTTTTTTAAAAGTATAGATGTAAACAGACAGTAAATATGGTATTTTGTTAGACACGGTACGAAAGATGCAAGGTGACAAAGAAAAGATGCAATAAATAAATAATTAGTGCTTCCTTCTGTTATATCAGGACAAGTTTTTTTTTTTTTTTTTTTATAGAACGGGGGGGCAAACGGGCAGGAGGCTCACCTGATGTTAAGTGATACCGCCGCCCATGGACACTCTCAATGCCAGAGGGCTCGCGAGTGCGTTGCCGGAAAAGTAAGGAGTCGTTAATAATATAATTGGTTTACTAAGACACTGATAATATGATATATGTACCTCCGATTTTGACCTGAGACTATGATTAAGCATCGTGACGCAACGAATGAATAGAATCATATGTTTATCTTGGGGCTCAGATTTCAAGCAATGGCGGATGCATCGATGAGGTCAAACGACGTATGGGCATCACAAGAACGGCGATGGACAAGATGCAAAAAATATGGAGAAACAGGAATATAACAAAAGCCACGAAGACCAGGCTCGTGAAGACACTTATATTCCCCATATTTCTGTACGCAGCTGAAACGTGCGAGATGTGGAAAAGCAGAAAATAGACGCTCTGGAAATGTGCTGCTGGAGGAGAATGCTTGGGGTTTCGTGGACCGAGTTTTGTACAAACGTCTCGATCCTTCAAGAACTCGGTATTAAGCAGCGTCTGTTTTCAACAGTACAATCTCGCATCCTTACATTCTTCGGACACGTATCTCGGCGTGGTGATCAGTCCATAGAACACCTTGTCGTCCAGGGGAAGGTGGAAGGCACTAGACCGCGCGGAAGGTCACCTACGCGTTGGACTGACCAAATCAAGTCTGCCGTAGGAGACTCACTCAACCAGTGCAGCAGGATGACCTCTAATAGGCAACGATGGCGAAACGTCGTAAAGCGCATCACATCTGCCCCTTCTAACACCACTACTTCATAGCGATCACGACCGCTCTGTCAAGAGTGCACCGGATAGGAAGAAGAAGAAGATCCGGCTGCAGAATTACTGCGCTAATCGTTTATTTGCTAAAAACCAATTTTTTTATTTTAATTTATTTAATAATTTTTAGATGCAAAACAACAATGTATATATAAATGATCGTTTATTACGAACTCCAAAACAGCGTGGTTTTTATGTTGGAATAAAAATGCCGCATCTATTCAGTTTGAGAACACTATCATTCGACGCATGCGCAATGGCTTAAATGCGTCGCACATCTCGTACTATATGTGGCACGGACTAAATCAAAGTCACAGTCAAATCTTCACTGCATTCCTTATGTTCATACTTTACAGGTGACATGTTATAATTTTGTTACAATTGACCTTTGTTTTCCCTCGTCCATGTAACCTTAACTCCCTACTTTCCCTCCCATCCAGCAATATTTCTGTTAATAAATTAAAGTTATAAATAAGATTCTCCCCTAGTAAAATGTTAACCTCTTGTATATAATATTAGATGTCTCTGTGTGTGTTGTCTTTATTGTGACGTCATTTTTGTTTTGGGTAACTCTGCTTAGATTAAATTCAATCTATCAAAATAAAATTATCAAATCTATCCTCACCGTGTGAAGACTTAGAACGTGACATTGGCGGAATTGTGATTTACACAGATGTCGCCATTATAAATAAAGTGAAGTGAAGTGACCTTTGTTAGGCACAGTAATGTTGGGAGAGGTCATGCTTTATTATACTTTTTCAGGCGTCGGGACGTGACGACCCCATCGCCCACTGGTGAAATAACCTGTGACAGAGGTTATTTCATCAGCGCAATCAGTCAACCCCTTCCTAGTGGGAGTGCCATGCTGTTGCCTTCTGGCTTCAGCCAAATGGGCAGGCACGACCGGGGCAGTACCACTGTCTCTCAGAAAACCGGCGTGAAGTGATGCAAAAGGTTCGCCTTCTTGTACTCGCGTTTCGTGCGGTGAGAGAGATTCCCGGAGCCCATTCCCCCCCACACAAGAAATATGAAGGTGCAGAAAAAACAGAATCTACCCCAGGGGGTACCACACGCGCTCGCGGTGGAGAATCCCCCTCTGGGCGTCCACCACCGGGACACTCAGCACCCGGTGGTGGACGCACAGGCTGCCCTTCGTATTCTGGGGGGGGCAATTCTGCGCTCTACAAAAATAGTAATCGTCCTCGGGGCAAACGGAGCAATTATACAAAGGCACCCCCGTCCACACTCGCCGTGGACTTCACAAATGTTAGGGGGCTTAATTCTAACATCAACGCTGTCCACTATCATCTAGAGACTGCGAAGCCGGCCTTGCTCTTTCTTACCGAGACTCAGATATCCTCCCCGGCTGATACTTCCCACCTATCCTACCCGGGGTACAAATTGGAACATTCATTTGTGCCGCGGGCTGGAGTTTGCGTGTACGTCAGAGAGGATATCTGTTCTCGTCGCCTCGGGACGCTTGAAGGAAGGGACCTATCTAACCTCTGGCTGCGCGTAGACTGCGATGACCATCCGCGATTCTACGCATGCCTGTATAGGTCCCATAGCGGAAATACCGAAACTGACCGACTCATTGAGCACATCCAAATGGCTACAGATTCCCTGCTCGAAAGGGTTCCTACCGCTGAAATCGTGATACTTGGCGATTTTAACGCCCACCATGCCGATTGGCTCGGCTCTGAAACCACCGATCACGCGGGAAGATCCTTTCACGACTTTGCTTTAGCCTACGACCTGACACAAATGGTCCCTGCGATTACGCGAATACCAGATGTGGATGGTCATAAACCCTCTTTGTTGGACCTTCTGCTGACTTCTCATCCGGAGAACTATCAAGTCTCTGTTGACCCGCCATTGGGTTCATCAGATCATTGTGTGGTCCGGAGTACTGTGCCATCTACGCGCCCTTCACGGCCCCGCTTTATGGGTTGTCGCCGTATTTGGCACTATAAGTCAGCAGATTGGGACGGGATGCGGTCTTTCTTTGCGTCCTACCCTTGGGGGCCTATGTGCTTTTCGCCGGAAGCTCCAGATTCCGTCGCCGCCTCTGTCGCCGAAGTGGTTCTGCAGGGCATGGAACTCTTTATTCCATTTTCTGCGGTGCCGATCGGTGGCAAGTCTCAGCCCTGGTTTAAACGTTCTTGCAAGGCGGCCTCGCGTCGAAAGCGAGAATGCTTTAAGGCATGGGCGGAAGCGGCGAAATCTCGTGATGCCAATACCAGCGAACTTAAAAAAGCATATAACTCAGCCTCCAGGTCCTTCAAACGGGAAATCACTAAGGCAAAGTCAGAGCACATTGCCAGATTTGGCGAGAGATTGGCCCAACTCCCATCAGGGACTCGAGCCTTCTGGTCTCTCGCCAAAGCTGTCCAAGGGAATTTTTGTCAGCCCGCCATTCCGCCACTGCACAGGGAGGATGACTCTCTGGCCCACACTGCGAAGGAGAAGGCTGACCTTTTGGGCTGTCTCTTCGCGTCTAACTCGACTTTGGATGACCGAGGGAGATCACCACCGACCATTTCGCGGTGTGATTCCTCGATGCCGGAAATCACATTCCGGCAACGTGCTGTCCGCAAAGCACTATCTTCCTTGGACATTCATAAGTCGAGCGGGCCGGATGGTATCCCCCCAATTGTGCTGCGTACTTGTGCTCCTGAGTTGGCTCCGGTCTTAACGCGCCTTTTCCGGTACCTGTACTCGCTCGGCACTGTCCCGAAGTGCTGGAAGACCGCTTTGATACATCCGATCCCTAAAAAAGGCGATCGCTCTGATCCGTCCAACTATCGCCCAATAGCTATAACCTCCTTGTTCTCCAAAATAATGGAATCCATTGTTAATTGCCAGCTCTTGAGGTATCTAGAGGGCCACCAGCTGATTAGCGATTATCAGTACGGCTTTCGTCGTGGTCGTTCGGCTGGTGACCTTCTTGTATACCTTACACATAGATGGGCAGAGGCAATTGAGTCCAAGGGGGAGGCGCTAGCGGTTAGTTTGGACATATCGAAAGCCTTCGATCGGGTGTGGCACAGAGCACTGCTCTCGAAGCTTCCAGCCTATGGGCTTCCCCGAGAAATTACGCAATTGGATCTCCAGCTTTCTGGCCGATCGGAGCATCAAGGTCGTCATCGACGGAGCATGTTCCGACCTAAAACCCGTAAACGCTGGGGTCCCACAAGGCTGTGTTCTATCCCCGACCCTATTTCTTTTGCATATCAATGATATGTTGAAACTTAGCAACATTCATTGCTATGCGGATGACAGTACTGGAGATACTTTTTACACTGGCCGGGCAGGTATTTCTCGGGCAGTTGTTGATGAGTACCGGAACAAACTTGTGTCTGAAGTTGAAACTCTACTTCGTGGAGTCTCAGATTGGGGCAGACAAAACCTAGTCCAATTTAACCCCAAGAAGACACAAGTTTGCGCGTTTTCCGCTAAAAAAACACCCTTTGTCGCTACTCCTCTTTTCGAAAACACTCTTCTTAAAGCCACAGCCAGCATTGGAATACTTGGCGTTGACATATCGAGCGACGTTCAGTTTCGCGGTCACTTGGAGGGAAAGGCTAAATTAGCCTCAAAACAGCTTGGTGTGCTCAGTAAGGCGAGACGGTACTTCACTCCGGGCCACCGCATGCAACTATATAAAGCGCAAATTCGGCCCCACATGGAGTACTGCTCTCACCTCTGGGCGGGGGCTCCCCAGTACCAGCTCCTTCCACTTGACCGTATACAACGCAGAGCGGTTCGAATCGTTGACGACCAATCCCTCTCCGAGCGGC